CTGTTGTGAAAGTAACAATAAAAGGCAATGCAGATTATATCCACTGAGTTTATCTTCTTGGAATCAATCAGGACTTTAAAAAATGATGAAGTGACCGAAATAAAATGTCAATGCTGCTGACACCTCTTTGGGCCCAGCAAAGGATTCAAATCACTCCACTGATCCTGGACGCTATCTAGATTCACCGGCTCACACTATCCCTCAGCAGGAGTTGCCGTTGCATGCCACGTCTGTGCAGGCATGGTCTCTACAACAGAGAGACCGCTTTGCATGGAACCTGGCCCAGAGAACAGTGCCAAGATGACCCCCACCACCCCCAGCTCTGGGGCACATGTGAGCTGAAGCACCAGGCCATCCAAGCTGAATCAGGAAATCAGGGTCAAAGGACCAGTCAGTCAAAGACAAAGGAATATTCAGAGCACGACAGAGCCAAGATCTTGTTGCTCAGACAATATAACCAGAAGCTTTTGATAAGATCTCGTCCAGGAGAGTCCATTTGCCCGTTTGGAGTGGGCAAAATGAAAACACTTTGCTGGCCAGGCCTTAGCTTCAAGCTTCAGCTCTGAAGTTCACCAAGTGAATGGGCTTAGACCATCTCTTGTGATCATCTCCTCCCCTTGGAAGCAGCCAACAATTTGCCACTTCAACTACTGAAGTCAAGAAAACCTGAAGAAATCAAGGTCTATCTGCTCCATGAAATCAGCTGGTTCTTATTTCTTGGGGCCAGTTTTGTAACTCTTTGGCCCCAAACAATGGGGTGTGCGTTGGGGGACTGAAGAATCCTGCTTCGTGGGGATTATTTGACACGGGTTCTTCCCAAAATTTCTAGAATTGAAATTTTTTGGAGTAATTATGGAGTAAAAGAGTAAAAGATAAAGTAGCATTTCAGGGATTACTAAGAATATTGTGTCTGTGTTAAACGAAGAATGGTCCATGTTGACATTAGAAAGTAGAGCTAAAAATGGCAGGTTTTGAGAAAGAGGGAGGGGAAACCCACGCCTCAATCTTTCTAGAACAAATTGCTCAGCAATTCAACCCTTGGATTTCTTCCTTTAAAAAAGTGAATTTTCTCTATTTTCTCCCTCTTCAATTGGCATCAAAAGCTAAGCAACGGTGTGTTTTTATTCACTTGTGTGAGTGCCCTTAGGTGATAGTGGAGCTACAATTTCTGAAAAACAACATTACCAATAAATTACCAGCTTAGCTTTGGTACTGTCATTTTCTACGAATTGACTCTAAGGTGATTTAAAAGAAAAAGAAAAAAAACTTGTCTAAGAAGTTACCATTTTCGTCGGCGCTTTGACTCTACGTTTATTTGCTCATTATCTGGTGCCCCCAAAAGAAAAAAGAATATTCCCAAGATGTAAAAAGTAGACATACAATTTCTGCCCCATATAGCGTAAGGCATTTTGACAACGGCTCCACAGGCTTTCAATACATCAGGATGCCTGTCAACAAACAGTACAAGAGGGAAAAGTAAAACAAAATACAAAAATATGGCCAACGTGCCCAACTGATTAATCTTGGGATTTTATGGCAAGAAAAGAACCACCCAAGGGCCTCTCTACCCTTCCCCAAGGCTTATAAATCTTGAGTTTTCAGTGTGGTAAGTCAGACTTCTAAGTGTTTTTCCTCCGGTTACAAACAGATAATAAATTACGTTGCTACTACAGAGGCTTCCATATGAAAAGCTCTGGCTCCGTCAGCACAGAAAACCAGGCCTGTCATGTTTCACAAACATAAAAAGGCTTCCATCCTGTCGTCTGGGATGGTCAGGAAAGAATTTTGCTGCTACTTATGGTAGCCAGAACTGGTCTACGTGGACACCAGGGTTCCTGTTAGCGAACAATTGTAAATATCGCCTTTAATTTTTAGCTTAAAAACAACTGTTGGATTTATCAATAGGCACATCAATTCTACAGCAATTGGTTTCCAAGTCAGCAGCGGTTCTGGATGCAGAAGGGATGAATCTTGTTCAACCATAGAATCTGGGAGATTGGCTAATAAACGAACTCTCCTTGTTCAGAAGTGATGACAGCCCTGTCTTCCGGACTGGTCTGGGTTGGCTCTTCCCCAACCTGGCATTCCCCCATCCTGTGTTGGGGATGCTTTTGGCCATGGTGGCTGCAGAATTCTGGGAACTGTAGTCCAAATACATCTAGAAGGTGCCAGGTTGGAACGGCCAGTTTTGCACCATCTTTAGCGCGACCACAATCAACAGTTCCATTTTGCGGCACCAAATTCCGTAGATGGCTATGACATCATCATCACATTTCTACACTGACTCATCCTTCCAAATCCCCAGCAGTTTACAACAGCAACCATATGAAACAGTAAAACATCTATAGTACAATTAACTGAACCCCCAAGACAATGCAGTACTCAATCCCATGACGAAAATAAATAACAAGTAGTTCGACAAATATCACCAATGGCAAAGAGTCAGTCCCTGAAGGCCCTCCTTGATGAAGATTTTGGCAGCCTCGCAGAGAGCAAATTGCAGAAATCACACCACACATTCTACCCATACATCATGTACAGCTTTTAGTTTGGCCCTGGCTTAGTGAATAAACCACAAAACCAGGATTCATAATTTTGTAAACCATTATCCTTTTGCCAAACAAGTGCCCCAGATACTGTGAATTGTGGTTTGTAATGCATGAATCAAACCAACCGTGACTTATTCAAAAAACCAAGATGTGTCTCAACACAAGACATAAATCTAATTTGTGATCCTCTTCTGTTGGGTTAAGAGGTTGAGTGGTTGTATTTTACATATCTTTCCAATCTCCGTATTACACTTTTAAGAGATGTGATAGAGACTGGCACATTCCGGAAGAGCTTGCACTAAGTAACCATACAATTACTATTTTATCAGCCAGATAATTCCGTATCCGAAGTTCTCTCTTTCAGAGTCACGCTGAATGACATGAGCTCACCATCACCACCTCAATGTCTCTCCTGCCTTTCGTAAACAGCAAGGTGATCTGTGGCTGTTCCAGTCATTAAAGCTTCATATTATTGTAACATCACCCTTTAAAACCAGTTCTGCCATGAAAAAAACTGGTGTAGAATTTATCACAGGAATTTAGTTGGCAATACGGAAGACCTGAGAAACTTCTCCTAATCTACTATGCTCTTACCTTTCCAAATGGACCATCCTTAAATTTACACAGAATATCATCTATTATTAAATTAGATTCTCACCTAAACTGAACAGAGGTTTCTGATGCTGTTTTCTGGAAAAAAATTAATCTCCTGAGAATTCATGATTCTGAAAATTTTAGCATCAGTGCTGCTCTCTTACATTAAGATGGACTCAAAACGAGGTGATTTTCATCATTCTTTTAATAAAATGGTAAAAATAAGGTTTCACATTAAGAGAGAATGCCTAGAGACTCTAACAGTGCATCGGTGCGCTCAATATACTACACACAGCTTACACTGTCTGTCCATCCACCCAAAATAACTAAAAGGCGGTAGCATCAGGAAAAAAAAACCCCAAAGTTTGCCAAGTATAAATACAGGCAGCCCCCAGTTTAAGAACAAGTTCCATTACCAAGGTCTGTCCTTAAGTCGAATTTGTATGTAAGCCAGAACAGTATTATTGTATAATACT